GTCAAACAAGCTCTGACTCACGCTCCTGCTCTTTACATGCACCCAATCCACTCCTATCTAGTACCTGTCACACGCTGGCTGCAAAATGGAATTGACTATTGATTTCCCCCTTACCACAGGTCAGTTGTGCTGGCAGGCTATAGTGGGCTCACTGAAAGCCTTGTGTGGGACAACAAGACGCGGAGAAAAAAAACACATTATGAAACCCACACAAAAACACGCAAGCACAAATACACGTTCTTATTAACTACCATTTTCTGGGATTGTGTAAAGGGAGACAATGAAGGTTGCTTTAAAAGAGGTGTGTGTTGCAACATGTGTAGTGTAACACACTGAGGAGATGGGGACTGTGGTGGGATTTGTTCTGCGATGCAGGAAAAGTAGAATAAGCATATGTGTGAAACGCAATCCAGCATTTTGCAAGGTTAGATGTTGCTGCACTGAAATAGAGCAGTTATTCAGAACTGTTTTGGCACGTGAGTCTTCAAAATAAATGTCAGCTTTCATCACGTTGTTATTGGTTGGTAGTTTTGCAGAATTTTGCCATCTTGGGGTAATTCATTTGAATTATCTTGAGTGGCCTGAAGAAGTGAAAGTATGCAGTATTTCACAAGAAGAGGTAAAAAAAGAGAAGAGAAAAGTCTAAACTGTGTGTGACAAAAATATTTTAATAATTTAATGACCTATCAGCTTTATCTCTGGATCCCTTGGAAGGTCCCACCTCTCAGGCTGGAGGAAGGAAAAGCAGTTTTGTTAAACAGGTATTTAATAAGCCTCTACTTTGTTGCTGACTGTGGGGGTCTCAGTTGCTGTCTTTTAATGTCAGAAAAGAGAAAACAAACTGGGCTTCACCACACTGTGGCAGCTTACTTTACTTCTGATACACACTGATATATTTTTAAATCAACAGACGGTGAAAATTACCACCAATATTTGTCAAAGCAAACAACAGATTTTGTGACAAAAGCTTTCACTTTCCTAGCTCTCAGAACAAAGCAGTCAGGGTTGTTCTGGGCTTGAACCCAAGGGTACACGTTCGCAAACAGCCATTCTAACAGCTTGGTGGTTATGTTTGAAGAATAGAACTACAATGTACAGTGGTATACATAATATTTACACTCACAAAGACCACCTTTGTTGTTTTGGGGGAACTAAATGCACTCCAAATTAGAGCCAATATTGACTTGTACTTGCCGAAAAGGGTACCTGTTCTGTGATGCCAGGAATTGTTAGTTGTGTACATTTACCATCCTAATTATAATTTGTTCGTAATTTTTTAAAATTTATTTTATTTATGTATGTATATTGATGTATTTATTAAGTATTTATCGTTTTGTTGGTAGTCAAATTTATTAATACAAGTCATGCTTGGTATTTTGGTCTCTCTTCCTAATTAGCATGCATTGATGAAGTATGCATGTGTCTGTTTGTACATGGATTACCTTTATAACCGTAATAATAGTCTTTACATTCAGACAATTTTTGAGAATACTTTGTAGCCTAAAGCCAACAACATCAGCAGTGTAAGCTCCACTGACTTAGTTGAGTGGCACGTCTTTCTCTGCAGGCTCTATAAACTTTTACTGTGTGTTGGACTGTGGACAATGATCCGACTGACATTAAAACTAAACTGGTCTGTGGACCGTTTTGTTGAATTCTGTTGGGGGATGCCAGCACACATGGAGTGCCAGCCTGTGAAACCAGCCGAATTAAAACTGTATTCAATGATAAACTGAAAAAACCAACAGGAACCTGAGGGCTGCGACTGTTGGTGTGGCCTGAGCTAATGTGGTCTGCAGTGTTACTTATCATTTACTGCTGCTCATTTCTAAATGTGCCTAGTACAGCTGCTAAATTGACTACAGAGCTACTTTGGCACTGTTCATTTTTTCATTTGTTTTGTTCAAACTGCACAAAAGTGGCCATTGTTCAGGGGTTGTAAAAGGAATAAACACTGCCTCAATGTTTGCACATTTTCTAGGCAAGCATAAATGCTCTCTGTAGGCAGACATGATAAAAAGCATAGATTTACAGCCAGGTATACATACACACTCACTTCACAAGCAATACTAGTCTGGTTTGCAGACAAAACCTCACACACAATCTGTAGTGGTATAGGCAGTGACGAACAGACTTTGTGCGCGCAATAGCTCAGCAACAAACGATACCTGTTACATTTGTGTTGACTGTCAAGGAGCTGTTGATTTAAATCAGTCTTAAGGCTTTACTGCGTTACATTATAGCAGCAAAAGAACATTTTGTTATTTTGTTCTACAGGTGGAAAAAATAGTGTGTGGTGGTGATTTACTAAAATAAGTAATACAATATATAATTGTTCAGCCACAATAATTACCATATAGTCAAATTAAAACCCCTTGATGTCTCAATAAAACAGTCTTTCTTGTAAATGTTATAGTAACATTATTTTGTGGTCTTTGTTTTGGATTGCTTTATATTTTACAGATATAAATGTCCTGTCCACCCTATGCTGTTAATTATCTGCCTTATGGAAATTAACCATTTTATAGCTTTATAGTTGAGATTTGCCAACCATCTTATGTGACTGTGTAAAGCTTGAGTTAAACTGTATTGCAGTGGAGAGGTTCTGGTATAAAGATATGGCAGACTTGTCAGTCACTTCTTGCTAAGTGTCCTTTCTGTCTTGCATTTTCTGATATTAAACCAGCAAGCAGCAGGTGATGTGTACTTTGTGCATTAAATATAGTCCAGTTAATCTTAGGTTGCTACAGCCCATATGTTATTTATGCATAGTTGATTCCCCTACCCGCTCTGACTTTCGCCCTCCTTTCTCAACCTGTATAAGGGGTCATTAAGTCATTGATCGAGGGTAAGGAGGTGAACAACTGCAGGGTGTCAAAGCAGAATCAGTATATCAGAACTATATGTGAGGTTCCATGAGTGCACAAGGAAACCACTTGTTTAACTGATGCAGAGACATTACATTAACAGAATTGAATGCATTTTAACAATGCACTTTTTCAGTACATATGCAAACAAAATATGCTATTATAACAGTGACAATAGAAACAGAAATCAAAGCACAAGTATTTTTCTCTTCACTTTGTGGTTCATGTGATACTCTTGAGATCAAAATAATTATAATAATAATTATTACTATTATTTATAATTATACTCTGCTTCTAGGTTTTGAAGTTAGTGTCATGCCACCAAACACATGGTCTCCTGGTGTCAAACTGGCTGCTTGCTGCTGCATAGTAGCCTTTTTCTACCCAACGTGACATCCTGTGTGATGGCCACTCCTGACTGCCTGACTGCCTGACTGACTGCCTGATTGCCTGACTGCTCCCTATAAACAGTTGCAGATTGCTTTACTTTGTTCTGTCACTCATTTCCTTATTCACATTCTGGATGAGCGCTCATAACCAACTCACTTTCTGGCCCCGGATTGATTGATTGATTTATAGGTCAATCATTGGGTAACCTTACTCGCCTACCATCCCACACACTCCAATGTCTTTCAGTGAGGAATCAAAGCCAAGGATTGACATATGAAGCGTTTCTTCCATTAAACTTTCAGAGAAAATCCACCTGTGCTGCTAGTTCCTGCTCTCCTGTGGAAAAAGAGTGAGGATAAATATTCAATATTTGCTGACAGTTATCCAAATTTAAAATCTAAGGCTGCATTTTAACACCTCATTTACTCTATCAGAAATGCCAGACCACCAGTGAAACATGCCATCACTGAAAGACCAAGGTTATTTGGAGAAATTAACATAACCACTAGTAGTACTTGCAAACAACAGATTGTAAACAGATTATGGGATTTGTCAAAGGCTGACCTTCTGTTAAGCAGCACCTGTGTACAACAATGTGAGCCAAAATGATATCTACCCATTAGAACCAACAGATGGCACTCTGGTAACATCTAGACCTCAGTGAGACATTTATGATGGAGGAAAAAATAAAAAATAAATAAAGAGGGAGAGATGCACTGATAAATATAACCATTTATAATGTTTTGTTTATTATATGATGGGAGTTGTTTTAGAGCTACAGGTGAGGACAGAAGCTTGTACACAGATAAGCTGGACATTGCTCCTTTCAGTAAAGGTTAGAGAGACTCAGAATAGATTCTGAAATGCTTGCCTGTTAACTTTAAGAACTCCTTACAGGGATAATATTTGACAAGACAGTCAAGCTATGTGTCAGAACCTTTTAGCTCACCGACTTATTCTAACGAGACCTGATTGTGGTTTTGTCATATGTCTAAGAACAGGGTTACCTTGAACAAACTGTTTGACATTGAGGCGTCTGTGCAGGGGCTGAGCAAGATGGCCAGGGAAACTAATCCTTCTCAGTCTGCCATCAGCAGGACCTCGGCTAGTCATTGCTCTGACGTGGTCTTTGTTGGAGAAGGCGGATGAACCAAGGACAGGAACTTCTCTTCCCAGGCCATACCCAGTTAGACCCCTCCGGTAGGTGCCATGACCCCAGCTTTGGGGCGGGGGGTGCCCTCTCAGAGACATGCCACGTCTATTTGGGACAGACTCGTCAACAACAAGGTCATGCTCATTGTAGACAAATGAGAGTGGTTTGTTGCGACCTTGAGGATCCCAATTCACAAGGTCAGACGGGCCTGGGGCTTCAGCCAGAGTTAGAGGGGCAATGTGCTTGACCTCTTCAAGATTGGACTTGCGGTTAATATGTAATTGTCCTCTGGGAAGTCTAAGCACTTGGTCGGTGGTGTATTCACTTTGAACTGGACTGTTAAAGCCGTGGCTCAGTACAAATGCAGATTCAGAACTCCTGGGGTGAGCTTGTTTATGTATTCTGTCGTCTAGGGATCTCACTCCCGGTTGATTTTCTCCGTAGGAGGCCATGTTAGGTTCAGTCTCAGCCAACTCACGCCCATTGTTATTGTAAGGGTGACGTCTGAACGGCATTGTGTCGAGCTGCATCCCATGATGAATTGGTCCATAGAGATCAGGGGCTCCATGGACTCCAGGATAATCCAAACCCAAGGCAGCTGCACGGGCTGCAATGGAACAACACAGTGTTGACAAACTGCATATTCTCTGTGTGCCGTTTCATTGTTTTGAAATGTCAAATATACCCGCTAATTGGTAATTATAAGAAAGTAGTAACATCAATCAATCAAAGCGCACTACGTACCTCTCGCTGTTTTAGCACAATACACACCTCCAGCTGACACAGAGCGAAGCACAATGGAGCTGCAAAAGACAACAAACACTGTAAGCCAAACAGCACAGCGCTGATTGTTTTTTAACCACAGGAAACATTCAAGATTAAAATACCTGAGAAAAACCGCCAGAGGTACACACATCCTGGCAGTTATGTCAGCATAAACTTCATGGCAATGCAATTAGTGAGAACACTTGCCACTCTTGACTTCTTTTGCAGCCACTCTGACTGCCCAAATCCTCACCCTGGCTTGATTTACTAATTACAGACAGCTGGTTGTCATAGAGACCAAAACTCAACCACTGAATCCAGTCAGCCACCGGCAAATTGCTTCATTACAGGCAATTAGTTAAAATGCTTGCTAGCAGCAGATTTCGACCAAACAAGACATTTTAGTTTACTTTTCATTTTAGTAAAGTGAAACACATTTAAAAGCATGGGGTGTGTGCTGTAAGGATAAAAGTCAAGCAAATATTTGCAGTTCTGTGCAATTTTAAACACATTTGTTAGTGGGTAATCTCGTATTTATACAGCTAAAGAAAAGTTTGTCTGGGCTTGGTTAAAAAAAGAAAGAATTGTAAATAAGTGTAAATCCTTTGGTGCCATTTGAATATTAACTATTTTGCAATCCTAGCATGATTAATAACATCACCTCAGAACTTTAAATTACCTGAACAGGTAGCTAATTAAAACTTCTAATTCACTAGACCTAAAACCTGCGATAATGATATACAATTTCCGCATGATTACCATAACCACCGCAAATTTATAATGATCTCATTAAGCTTGACTTTCTTTATTATATGGTTCAAAGAACACAGAAAACATTTGGAAGCATACGTGCAGCAGTAACAGTGGGTCATTTTTCTTTTGTTTTTCATAAACATGTACAGTTCAAAACTTGGGTGGGGGGGGGGCACAATTAATCGCTTTACGTTAAAAGCCGGAGAAAGAAGCAGCGCTTGGATTCTTGCAGCAATGAAGCAGCTGAGAGCAGTGGAAGCATTTAATAATTCACTCAAATTATTTCTGTCAGGACTGACAAGCTAAACGGGGGCTTGATTTAATTCTGTAATTGCATGTTCACCTTTACCCTGAACCCATACTTTGGTAATTAATAGGCCCAAGCTTTATTTGAAGTGTGGCAAGGCGAGTAATGGAATTTAAATTGCAGGTGATGTGAAACCAAAGATGTGAATGCCCGCTTGGTCAAGGAGCTCATGCTATTTGCCAAGCACAGTGGCACCCGGACTGAACCAAAAAGTGGCACCAACCCTCAATCGACCCACAGACCTAATCCTCTGCTCCTGCACTTCGCAGACCGTCTGTCTGTTGTTAAGAATGGACTAGACTTGACTTGAACTATGCTATTTGACTTGTGGATTTCAACACAATGGACAGTCTAGATGAACACCCAGAGACACACATTAGTGGTGGCGTATCCATCAGCAAAGCGACTTTGCTTTGTGCTGGCTAACATTTGTAGGGACTCTAAAGCAGACCTATATCCCATGTGGATGAGGTTGAATCGCTTGACACACACCCTCTGGAGGAAGGTTAGAGTATACGAGCTCAGCAACAGAGGATCAGTGCTCCACCTCTCAACCTCAGGGTGATGCTGAGCCCCCACACTCAGCTCCCATTATCCCCTCTGGGCCTCATTTGTGATGAGCGGGAGGTCCGCGGTGTCATTTCCACAAGATGTTGACACAGACAGAGCAGCCTCACCGGACTGCCAAATGACCAGTGAACTCTGACACTGTAACGGCACAATGTTCCAGTAATGGCTGTTTCAACCAAAAGGTGGCATGTAATGCGCCACTATTAGGTTCATGATGAAACCACTCACATTTGTTTTGGACTAATTTTCTAAACTCGTGTAAATATGTATCAGAATCAATTAGGCCTAATAATATACAGTCCTTAGAGGATTCACATCAAAGCACATAAGCACACAATCCAATTAAGAGTGTTTACTGTTTAGATTGAAATGCTCAGCGTTCCGGTCTTAAACCCAATCCGCATATCAGTAAACAGTATTTGTGTCTTTTCCAGTGGTTGTGTGTGGGCGTTTGTGTGTGTGCGCGCTTGTTTGTATGTACGAGTCGAGAGAGAGATAAGTGCAGAGTACATGCAGCTTTGCAATCTTTAATATGTTTTTTGTGCATTTCTTTTATGTGTTAGTGCGAGGTTGTTATAGATATTTGATTTTCTTTTTTTAAAGTGCTACAGTAAAAACGTGCATACAAAGTGCATACATTAGTACCAAAGTATTTTTGTCATTTTTTAACATCCATATATGTTTGTTATTTATATTCATTATGATATATGCAATATGATGCAGGTGGGTACCCAGTAGTACATTTGTCCAGTGTACCATTATGGTGCTTTTGATTCGAGTCAGACCTGTGACCCTTTGCTGTATGTCATCCCCCCCCCTTTCCTGTCTATCTTGACCTGTCCTGTCAAATTAAGGCAAAAA